TATGTTGCAGATAAAGCTTCGCTGAGGAACAATAAAACAAACTTCGTGAAAAGAACTTGGCTAAAGAATAATAAAACGAACTTTGTATTTTCTTAATGTTATGGGATTCTGAGGGTGGGTGGGTGTTATATCTAAACCGTTAATACCGCTATACTTTAAAACTGCTCGATCCGGAGCTGCTGAACCCTAAACCCTAAACCCTAAACTCTGTGGGTTGTTTTTTGTAGAATCCACAGACTCTACTACAGCAACCTATTTCTCTTTACGCCGAGGCACTGGGAAGCAGCTCAATGCTCTGCCGATCACGAATTGCCAGACGCTAGGCGATGCTTGCCTCAACCTCCGTGCCTATGTTCGTCGCCACTGCAAGAAACGAGGCTGAAATTTATTGGTTTCACATGCAGCCCCTATGCTTTCAGTTCAGTCTCTTCCTGAAGCTTGGATCAATCCCTGAACCGAGTCTTTTTGAGAAATCCCAGACAATCCCAGGAAGCAGAGCTGGAGCAGCCGCAACTTCGAGAAGATTCTGACAGCCACTGTCCAGAAGCTTTCCCAGGCCTCCTATTCACAATTAATTGCGGTTTGGGGATGAAGTGTCGATGTGTGCAAAATTTGGCATGCTACTCCAAAGATAGACTTTATTTGCTAGGGGTTTCTAGGTCAGACTATGTTCTGCCAGGAAGCCAGCAAGGAGCTGCAAGACTGCTTGCTCGGCAATGAGTCGAAGCGAAAGGCCCCGCCGGAGGAGCCTGCGCGGCACAACAGAATGAAGCGGGGTCTGAAGCCCCCTGCTTCCCCAGAGGAGGAGTCCCAGGAAGAGCCTGACGAGGACACGGAGTCCAAACCCAAGAGTAGGGGCTCGGGCAAGCGCCCCAAGGACGGCGAAGACGGCGAGGACGACGACGACGACGACGACGACGACGAGGACGACGAAGACGGAGACCTTTTCACGGGCCCTTTCAGCTGCCAGACCCCTGCCAAGTCAAAGGCCCTTGGGCTCAAGGACAACCTCGCACCCAAGTACCAGAAGCTGGCAGAATCCTTCGAGTCTGCCTTGATGAAGACATTCCCTGAAGATTTCTCGAGGCTCTTGATTACTGTCCTGAGCACCCATCGAACCAACCCTAGCCCTCAACCCCCAACCTTAAATTAAAACCCCGAAGCCTAAGGCCATAAGCCAATCTTGGAAGCAGCCTGCAGGTCGGACTTGGCCCTCTTTCTGCAGATTCTGAAGAAGGAAGAGATTCATACTCTGCTCACAGCCATGGATGTGTGTCAACTTGAAGGCAGCTCTGGTATTAACGACTAAACCCCAAGACCCGAAACCCAGCATTGACATGCTTTGGCTGGAGACACTTAGGAAAGCCTGCACATGACCGCCCATGATTCGCAATGCCCAGAGTAAACAAAAACTTGAAATCCCAGTACAACCCGGAAGCTATAGGATGACCAGGCCGATGCCCTAAATAAGTATTAAGCACTCAGAACCCTGAACCCCCAACCGGACCGATCTTTGCTGGCAGGCGACCTCTCCGAGCACTTGGGCGAGGCTGAGCAGGAGTACAAGCGCATGAGTCTCCGTGGCAAGCGGCTGCTCTCTGCCTGGCAGAAGAAGATTGTTGCCATGCAGGCTTTCGGTGGTGTTTTTGCTGGCGGCTTTTGAGCTTCATTGCTTTAGGGCTTTGTGCCGTGACTCTCCGGAAGGCCACCCCGACTCCAAAGGATCTTCCAGAGGCTACCACTGCTGAGTAGTGGAGACCTACATGAAGGTGGGATTTTGATGGTTCGGGCTCTGATGTGTCACTGATGAGATCTCAGGGCCTTGATGGACACAGCTGTACATGCTGTTTCTGAAGCTAGGACATCATGAGCCTGTGCTGGGGGACAAGAAACACCATTCACTTGGGAGCCTGTGCGACCATTCACATAGGAGGCTGTGCATGGAGCTCGATGAGGTTTGATTGGATTCCATGTCTTGCTCAAATACAGGAGGGCAGGGTTGCTTTTCTGCAGATCATATCATATCTGATACCTAAACCCTAAACCCTAACCACCTACCCATGATGGTTGGCAACATCTTGTTGTAGCTTGAAACTAAGTTTCGAGGCTTTTCTGAGTTGTGGTCAGGCAGCAGGTTATTCAGTCTTCTTACTAGACTAGGGTTTCCTAGAAGGCTTAGGGTTCCTTTAAATTTGACATAAATATCTTAGCTTAGCTGAAACCCAAAACTAGACAGGTACAGGCACTATGGCTAAATTCCTAAAGTCCCAACCTTCTGCTCTTCAAGACCCGAATCCCGTGAAGCAGTGTTCCATAGCCTTCAATACAACAAGACTAGCACAAATACTGAGTACATGTGTCACTCTTAAACTTAATGTAGCAACCTAGCACTTTCGACCCTCCAAGCTTTTCCCTTTGCTTGCCAACGGACGCACGCACGGGATCCTCTTCGTCGCTGGGGTGAGCCTGGGCTGAAGGCAGTTTGTGTCTTTGTGCAGAAAGTACTAGGACTCGGTGTGTCAGTATTTGGGGAGCCTTGCCATTATCTGCTGCCATCCAGGATTGTCTCGGTTTGGGCTGCAAAAAACACACTGTAGGCAAGCTGTCCTTTCAGGTCCAAGGACTTGAGGTTTATTTCCCGAGACTAGATGTTTGCGATCCCAGCAGATTTGACGGGGCCGAAATCGGGCTGGGTCTTTTTTGTCTAATTACAATTACAAATGGGGCCCTCGGGTCTTTGGGCGGTTCTCTACGTGCTGCCTCGCTTCACATGATGGTTTCAACGTGCTGGCTCCCTTGTGGGTACACATTGCGTGCTGCCTGCAGGGTACGTTCTATCTGTTAGGGCAACGTGCTAGCTTAAAAAAAAACCGGCCGCTGGTACCGCGACGTGCCGGCGGCAAAACATTGAGGCAGCATGCAATTATTTTAGAACCCGACCCCGAGTGCCTAAACCCAAATCCTTCGGAGCATCCCTAAAAAAACCGCGTGCTGCCTCGATTCCAGAAAGTGCGTGCTAGCTCGAAATTTTGTCGCCGGCACGTGCACGGACCACCAGCACGCACGCACAGCACGCAGCAGCCGAGCTGTCAGGGAGAATGCACTCCTTATCCCTGCCCCGATCTCAGGAATGGCGGAGAGAACGTGGTTCCAAGAAAGGATACGCGAGCTGACCCAGTGCCTGGGCCTGTTCTGTGCGTGCTGTCTCGCACTACGTGCTGCCTCCTATCCGATGGCAACAAGTTATTAATTGTCCTGCCAGGACCCACCCGGAATCTCGAGACGCACTTCGGAGAAAAATCCAGGGCAAGATCGAGTTTGTGGATGCATGCATTCAGCATGGACGCTCTTTGGGGCAGCTAGTGCTCACAAAGGCGCTCTGGGAGGCTCGGGCTGATTTGCAGTCTGACTCTAGGCTGCCAAAGCACGGTAGTTCTCTATCGCTAGCTGACTGACAAGGACGCCGTCGAGAGCTTCCGGGCTAGATGTTCCGAGTTGGGTCTGCCATTGCGGCCACAGCTCTTCCCAGCTGCAGAGCAGAGCCAGCCAGCAGCAGCGCAGCAGCAGCAGGCGGCCGAAGCGGAGGCCACGTCCACCTCAGCAGGTTCTCCAGACAAGGTTCGCGCCCCTACCAAGACTCTTTATCTCAAAGCCAACGCTGGAGTCCGAGGAGTCTTGCAACTACACCAGGCCACCAGAGCACAATCATCATAGAATCTGCTATGTAGCATCCCCCTGTGAAGCAGGCCCTGGAAGATAGTCTGCTTGGCTACAACTATATGTGGCGGATAGAGGAGATTTGGTCTCTTTTGTCAAGAACACAAAAATTTCACAATTGGTTCAGCAAGCTGTCCCATGCCAGCAGATGTCATGTTCATGTGTCCCGTGTTTCAGCTTCCTGGCTTCGCAATGACACCTAAGGCCTGAGCAGCAGGGCACGCAAATTGCATCTCATTGGAAGCTGGACCTGAGCATGCATTTCGTGCGACGCCAAGATTATAGAGGCAAGCTGACAAACATCGTCTCCGATGCTCGGTTTGTGCTGCCCTTTGATGCCATGACCACAGCCGGCTTGTTCTTTGCAGCTCCTTGTTTCAAGGAGACCCGGTTTAGGCTACACCCCCACCGTGCCCCCACCAGTCGCAGGCAATCGTCTTTTGATTGAAGTGAAAAGTCGCAAGCAAACAAATTCATTGCCACACACTAACACTCACAAAACCGGCCTCCTTATTATTATCATTTCTCTTCGAATAGATCCCTCAAGAAGACAACCCGCACTTGCAGCCGAGGTTGGTGTTGGGCTTCAGGTCCGTGGCTGCAAGCCGCCCCTGCAGATGGCAGCCCTGGAGTGCCTGGAGGTCGTCATGGAAGCTTGTATGCCACGGGACATCGATCTAGATTTGCTGCCTGGTTGTCCTGAATGTATCCTGTCAGCAGTTCCAATTTATAAGCAGAAGACATTCACAAAGAGCTTTGTGTGCCTCATCTACTGCTGCCTACATCTGTAGAGGTCTGCTTCGTGTGCGAAACTACGAAGTCGAACTCGACACCCTCAGTGATTTCCTGGACTTCAGCAACCTCACGCAGAGGCCTCCCCGAAAAAAAACCCGTAGTTACTCTGCTTCTTCTGCCTCGTTTTTTTCAGGTGGAACTACACCAAGCTCTTCAGCAGGGGCCAGCAGAAACTGCAGACAGGTGGCGGTCCCACGTGTATGTAGAGCTGCATGTGCTTTTGCCTGTTGCAGAGGAGGATTGAATTGGCAACTGAGGCATCAAACTGCACGTTCTCACATGGTTTCTGCTACGTGTTCCCTTCCAAGAGAGCTTCCAGGAACATCTGTCAGTGGCCCAACCCCAAGCTTCCGAAAAAGGTAACAAATTTCGTTCTTGATGCCAGGACATCAGCTACTCCCGCCTGCAGCGCCGATTGATCCACCGCCTCAGCCAAGCAGCCGAGAAACGCTTCCCTACAGTCCTTATACCAGACCTACCAGTTCTGCAAGCAGATCACAGGATGCACCCGGCGAAGAAGTGACTAATCAGCAATAGCCGCTCTTAATAAGCTTAAGGGGAATTCGGGGCTGTGTTTTCTGCCGGCCGGTCTCATGCTCCTGAATCAATTCACTTCTTGCAATCCGAGGGACGGCCGTCTGCTGCGGTTGGAAGCAAAACCGAAGAGCCAGATGTGTCTTGACAGATTCCTGAGCAGGGGAGGAGGATTGGTGGCGGCGACGCCCGAGCAATGCCTGCTCAACATGGACTTGAAAGGGGTGCTCCCAGTCCACTACAACAGGAGGGTACCACTTGTACGGTTGCAGTGTCTTCTTATGTTCTGGTCAAGTCTTGTGGAACCCCGACCCGCAGGACTATCGCCGACTTCTACTTCAGATACATCCGGAAAGCCAGCGAGCTCTTGGCACAGGCCAGAATTGCTGCTGTTTCGATTCAGACACACACACACACACGCACAGACAGGGACAACAATGGGCGAAAGAGGGCAACCCAGACTCACCCACTAAACCCCCTAAGCCCGAAACCCCAAATAAACCCCGAAAGCTCTAAAGCCTACTAAATCCCAATACCCCCTCAGCCCTAAACCCTAAACCCTGAGCAAACTCCAAATCAGAACACATTCAGAAGTTCCCCAAATGACCCTGAACCGCAAGAATCGCCGCAACCTTCACAATAATTACCTAGCCATACCATCAGGCAGGCTTATGGATGAGGAGGAGTGGGGAGGGCACATCTGAAGTACACGTGGGCCTAGCTGCCGATGCCACCACAACACAATGACGAAACACACACGCACAAATAAACAACGAACGCACACACACACACAGAAGCACAGGCACACGCATATACCTACCCACAAAGCACGTACACACATACATACACACATATTCACATGCACAAGACGCACACACAGAACACACACGCACACAGACACACACACACACACACACACTTACAGATAATATATATATATATACATATATATATATATATATATATATTCATTTGCTTGTATAATATTCAGTTCGTAAAGGACCGCAATAATAACCTTAAGCCCCTCAACCCCAAACCCGAAAAGCCTAATCTGTTTTCTTGACAGGAGATATCGAAGATGAAGCTGAAGAGTTTGAGTGTCCTCTGTGACGCGAGTCCCAAGGGCCACATGAACGCTGCTAGGTCGCATGTTTGCTGTTTAATAGGAACAATCGTGCCCGTGGCAGAACCACAAGTCTTCTAACCTCATCCCAGGTTTGGCTTCCAGTGCTGTGCTGCAATGACTTTGCAGCAGTGGGCACACTGCAAAAGATGGCCCCTCTCCACTTCAGCGAGGTAGATACTGCTACTAAGATGGAGGCTGCAGTTGGTGTATCCAATGCTACAACAGAGCTCCTGGTGGCCGACCCCAAGACCGATGAACACAAGTCGAAAATGAGTCTAGCCGGCGGAAATCTTCAAGTATCAGTCTTGCACATGCCAGTGCTTTGATTCATTGTCCGACTGCAAGGGATCTGCCTGCTAAGGCCTCGGAAGCTCAAGGAGGTGCACCAAAAAAAAGTTGCTGCCAAGGAGCAGCTGCTGGCGGTGCACAACTGCATCCAGCATGTCGGCTTCAGCTTCGACCAGATCTGGCCCGAAGAAGGCCTCCGCCCCGTCGACCCGTTGATTGAGACCAGGCTCTCTCACGAGTTTGAGGGGGAAAACAGGACGTATGTGCATAACGCGATCACAAAGGAGTGCCACTGGGAGCCTTTGAACGGGGACCACTACCGCCTCGTTTTGGCGCCGGACGAGGGATCGTCCTTGTTCACAGGTTTTATGTTTCTGGCTTCCAAAGGGGCTGCCATTGGATTCAACCGGGACGAAAGGTATTCTGTCTGCAGACAATTCTTTCACAATTCTTTCCAGCCTACAGGTTTTGTGTCCCAGGTCTGCTGGCTGCTTGAAGTAGCTACTTGGTCTGAAGCATTGTACCGCCTGCCCAACCGAGTCACAAACTCCACAACGCCTGCAAGAACATCCTCACCTCCACGCCAGTGATGAAGAGATCCTGGGCTCTGGCTTTGTTGCATCTCTAGAAAGGTCCTGTAGCAGAGTTACAGTAGTTCGTTGGTCCTGGTTCTATTCAGTGGTTGGGTTCGCTTTCTGATTCTGCCTGTCCTTAAGTCTAGGAATGTACATGCTGACATCGTGGATATCACGGTGCCGTCGGTCTCCTTGGAACCAGCACGGGATCACATGCTCTCTGAAGGCTGCAGGTGCACGGTACTTGGATGTGGCAACCAGGCTGTTTTTGCAAAAGGGGCTACTTTTTACACTTGGATATATCTAATTATTTCCAGACAACATCAAATCCCCTTAGGCCTCGGCCCCACGACCCTCGTGCCCACGCGAACACATGAGGCAAGAGCTGATGATGTATTACAAGAGATGTTCGGCAGAGACATCCTTCTCGAGACACTGTTTTGCATTGCTGGTCGCATTAAATTTCCCAAACAGAATACCTGAAGAACTGCCGATCTCCAAGGAACGGCCTCACGCCAACCGAGAACGAAGATGAAGATTTCGAGAATGTCGTCGGCATCCTCTCCAAGTTGGTGAAGCCGCTTGGCTTTCCGTGTCCTTTCCCTAGCCTACAAAATTCCTAGACTCCCGATTGCTTCGGCTAGGTTGCATGACGATGGCTTCGACTTTTCGAGATGGTGCTCATGGGCTCACACAGCCAAAAGAACCCAATTCACCGGCACACTGCTGCTGCTGTTCTGGAGTGGGATCGAGGCAACCGACCCAAATCTAGCTGGCTTCGGAAGCTTCGTCCCCCAAACCCCAAGTGCCTCGAATTCAAGTAAGCCCCAACTGATCACGTCGTCCGAAACCCTGAACTTTCTGCAGGCCGGAGTCAATCCGTTTCACATCCTCTCCAAGCAGAATGATGTGGAGGCTCCTGAATCCAACTTCGAGAAGGTCGTGGATTTGACGGTTCGAGCAGCCAGGCTAGATTTACAGTTTGCGGGGTTTTGGATTCTTGATACTCCCTGCTCTGTTCCACCTGATTGAAGGCACTCATGGATGAACAAGTTTATGCAATGTGGAAATCCACGAGGGTTCTCTTGGAGCCCTTTCGCACAATTTCTGTGCATTTGGCCACTCGACTGCAGACTCTGCCAGGCTTCCGTGTTGTGATCAGAGACACATAGTGTTGACAACCAACTAAGCAGCAGAATGCCCGCAAGCTTTGGCATCTACATGATCACGTGCACGACATGAGCACGAACGCCAATGTGGAAAAAACGCTTGTGGCCCTGTCCTCGCAGTGCTTGGCAGCTCATGTCTTGGGAATGAAGCCAGATGTTTCAGGGCCACACGGCCAGGCAGGCCATTGCTGGGTAGCGGGCCGTAAATCGTTCTGGATTATAATAATACTGCCTAGCTTCATGCTACACACAGCCTCTTCTATCAGGACCAGAGAAACGCCACACGTGGTAGCCGACATGTACTAGCTTTTAGCTGTGTTTCTCGCTATGAGTAATGCTAATGGCTTTCTTGTGCTAAGCGCTTAGACTCTTGCCCAAAGCTCGGTCCAGTGAACAGCTACTACTGATTCACACACAATTGACAAATGAGACAAACGAGTGCTTTAGGCCAGAGTTCCGTTCTACTAAGTAGAGGTACAACACCCCAACAAACCTATTTATTTATTTATTTAATCGCAAGCTACCTGGGGCATTTCCGGGCTTCTCAGTGTTTCTCTCATGACATTAATAAAACCCTCAACCTCTCTACCAATGTATATTTAAA